ATCAGAGACTGGGGGACGGGGTAGAGTTGGAACATACAAACCCATTTGTCTAAAATCTGTAAACTGCCAGACAGTGTGATTAAAGCTATAGCCAATGAATATGTTGAAAAGTAAGCTGTATTGGGAAAGAATGATTATGGCTTCTACAAAAGGAATTCCTGCCTTGCTAAGTTTCTGATTATCATTAATCATTGTTTGGTAGGTAGACATATACATGGACTTCCCAAAAACCTTTGACAAAGTCCCTCACCAGGTCCTCTGGACATAAGAATCTTGGATTAGCAAATAGGTAAAGTGTTTAAGAGTAAACGTGCAGTTCTTAAAATGTTGCAGAGTGAACAGAACAATATGTATTCAGACCAGTCCTCCTTACTGGATTTATACATGATTCAGGATAAAACCAAATTATTCAGAATAATTTGGAAACCAAAGTAGACTACAGGGCATGTAGGTATCCACAGGAAAGAGAAGTTCTGTTCTCCAAGTGGTATCTTTCTGCTGCTAGAAGCATAGATCTGGATCTAGCCATGAATGAACAGAAAATGAATAGAAAAGAGCATGACTTTGTTCCAGGAAATTCAGAACCTGTGGTCTCTGCCAAGGAAGAACCCTTAAAACTGAGCCTGGGAGCTTCACTAGTAGCTTAATAGGTCTCCAATTCTGCCAGCAAACAATAATGAGTGAGATACACAAGATTTGCCTACAGTGGCATCTGGTGCTTCCCTCTTTAGCTCATACTCATTAAAAGTTATTTTAAACTTAGAAATACAAAGCATTATATTTTGGCAACAACCGCCCCTTTAAAAATTCTTCTGATTGCTTCTCCTAAACTACAACTTAGGAAAAAGTTGATGAAAGGTTTCTATGTAGCAATTAAAGAAATGTTGCATAGAGGGTTTGTTATTGTATAAACAACTGTAACCTGCTTATGGTAGTATTGACAATGTATAGGGAGCAAAAAGGCAAAGTTTTATTGCATTATATCTTCCAAGCATAACCAAAGAAAGGGATCATGGATGTGTCGGTAGATCCTTTTCATCCTTAATTCTTGCATTTAAAATGGGTAGAAGAGGAAAAACCAGACACCGTCGTGTGTAGGTGAGGTCAAGAGTATGTAAACTATTTGACATTCTGTACTGTCTCTTTCTGAAGAGATGGTAAATAGTTTTATAGATACTGTTCCAGCTTCCTCCCCACCCTGTTTAGCATGATTGTCAATGTACTTGTCTGCAGAAAACTTGGAGCTAACTTACATGTTATATTTTTGTGTACTAAATAGGACCAATCACAAAAATTTACTTTTGTGAAAATTACAGCAAATGTCAGGACCCTAAGAAGCAAACCTTGTTAAATGCATCCTACCTCTCCACTGGCTATTCCCAAGCATCAATAGTAACAATAATGCCATACACACAACAAATTTAAACATGAATTTAGTTGATCTGAATCAGAGTTTCTGCAAATGTTCGGAACACAGAGTAAGGTTGCGATCCTGGAATGGTGTAAATTTGTGTCCTGCAACATCAGGAGGTTGGACCCGATGGCCTTCATGGCCCCTTCCAACTCTAGTATTCTATGATTCTATGAATCCAGTACCTTTTTATTTGGGAGCAATACCCACTGGCTACAATTGGTTTTACTTCTGAGTGTACATACCTAGGATTGTTTAGCTGCAATCCTAAACACATTTTCTAGGGAGCAGGTCTCATTGGACATTGTGGGACACACTTTTCAGTAAATACGCATAGGATTGTGCTGAGTAAGTGCAGTTGTGCAGCAAGTTCCTCTACTAGTTCAACATGTTTTCCTTAAAAATGCTTTCTTTTAAACTCAGTCTTCTACAGAAGACCTTTTAGATTTCTGCTTCACCTTAGTTCTTCACTGTTGTGAAATGGTGGTCTTCAGATAAGTGTCACCTAAAGTTAAGGTAAGGGAAAGGGGGCAATGTATACCTAGTTAGTGGAGCACACCTATATGCATATGCACTTCTAAGGGATCCGTGACATTTTTGGTTGAAGCTTCTCAAGTCACAAGCCTGAGGCAGGCCTCTGCTCCAGACCATCAACTGCTGCCTCATTCCTAGTGGGTTATACGGGTGGCCTGGTGGTGCAGCTCAATGCCTGGGTTCACACAACATGCTGAGCTTTGGCTGGGGGTGGCTTAGCATGTCATCCATGCCCACTGTGCTTCCTGAGAAGAAGCACTTTCCCTCAGGTCTCCGTGGGAGTTAGCCTCCCATCTCCCCGTGCTGTGCTCTGTTGCTGCTGAGCTGAGCAGCAAGTGTGTGCAGCAAGGAAGAAGGCGGGTTGCTCGAGGCTTTCCTTCACCATGTGCCACAGCTGCTCAGCTGACTGCTAGCCCTGCCCCATTAAGGGAGCCTGTGACACCTGCCCAAAGTCCTGATTGGGCACTTTTGGACAGCTGTCACCCCACTCTGTGCTTCCACATGGTGTTCCTGGGATACCAATTGGGAAGAGAGGGGAAGAGTTAGGAGACAGTGCCAGTGAGGTCCTCCTATGCCTGATTATTTGTCAGGCAGACTGGGGGCATCAGGCACTTCCAAGCCCAGGATGGCTATGTAGTGTCATCCAAATCTGCCCAAGACTGGGTTCACGCGAGGCCGGGGTGGCTCGTCATATTGTCTGAACCCAGCAGCTTGGATAGTAACCAGATTGGCTGGGTCCAGACTACCTGACAAGCCACATCTTTATGCAGTCATGGGGGGAAAGAAGCCCTGGTGGGCTTTGTTTGCACAATCTCCAAAGTACATGATTTGCATAATAACCCTTGTGGTGCATGGCTTCCTGGGTCATCCAGAACCAGTGAGATGCACCGTGGGGGGTGGCTTCAAAGCCACCCCAGAAGCTATAGCTTGTTGGGAGGTTCTTGGGTGGTTTGGAAACCACCCCCCTTCTGCACATCTTGCTGGATTTGTACAACAGAGGAGGATGCACACCATGAGAGTCATTAGGCAAATCATATGTCATGAATAGGCAGGAAAAAGCCACCAGGGCTACTTTCCCCTTATTGTGTGCACGAGGAAAGTAAAGAGAACTGTACATATTCATAGACCTGTGTAAGTAAGGTGTTTCTTACTAGAATTCAGGATCCACAGAGCCCCTCATTGTGCAGCTGAACTTTTGAGATTCTACCAGCCTCAATGTTTTAAGGTTCTCTTTGCAGCTACAAGGAACAGAACCCTTCCTTCCTTCCTCTCTCTCTCTTTCTTCCTGGAAGTTGAATCATGCTCCTAATAACAGATCCCACTGTTTTTCTTTCCAGAAATACACAGAATGTACTCAGTCCTCTGTATTTGAATACAGTTCCCTTTTTGCTCACTGGGAATGTTGTGAAAGCTTAACAAAATACAGGACTATGCTAACCTTAAAACAAGTGGAGTGGGATCAGGGGAAAAAGCCATGTGGAGTGTGGTGTCTGCTCCTAATCTCTAACTCTTCAGCTGAATTTCTACATAGAACAAGTGTCTTTCTGCATGAGCTGAGGCCATGGAAAGTAGGATTCCCAGTGGCACAGAGAAAGTCCAACGTATGTACAGTTCTATATGCACACAGGTAGGGATGGGCCACTCTTTCAGTTTCACTTTCTCTTGCATTTGAATCTGTTAGAACCCTTGCTTTCCCCCAATTACATTTCTATACTCTGGAAAAGTCAATGCGCTCTGGCAGGTCACACATATTGCAAAATTCATGAAATTCTTATTAAAAAACTGAAATTAAATTCTTGCCCATCTTCCTCAGCCAAATTCAAAACATACTGCTTTTCCCAGCATGAAAACCACGATACGCTTGCTCCCCTGAAGAGCTCTTAAAGTTGAGGAGCCTGCCAAAGATAGAGAAGGCAACCTGAATTCAGCACCATCATGGCTGAATACAGTCTTTTAAGGGTTAGGTACTCAAAGCCCTGACTGGCTGCACGAAGCTCTATGTTTCTGTATCTCCCGCATCTTAATTAAATTTCCAGGTCTTTTTTGTCCTGCATATGAGGAGCACTGCAAATTCTGGGAAATTCTTCTCAGAACCGAACAGACAGGGACACTCCGCCCATAAGCACCGGCGACGGCACCTTGCAGCTGAGCACGCGGGCGCCTGGCCCGGGAACCGCGGGCGAGCGGGCGCCCCGCCCCCCACCGTCACTGCGCCCCCCGAAGGGCTGCTGCCGGCCAAGGCGAGCGGCGCTGCTGGGCCGCCCCCAGTTCTTCCCAAGACTGAGGCGGCTGCCGCGAGCGAGCGCTCGGGCTCTTCCTGCGCGTGTGCCCCCCCCGCCATCTCGCCCCCCACCTGGCGCACGCCACCTCAGGTGCACGGGGCGAGAGCCCCTCAAGCCCGCGCAGAGAAGCGCACTGGGGGGGGGGGGGAGGCGCAAGGCCCGCGGCTGCCGGGCAGGCCTCGCCCCGCGCGCGGGCTCCCTCAGGTGCTCGAGCGCGCCGCGAGGAGGATGCCCAGACCCCGACCTGGCCGCATTGGGATGCAAATGAGCTCGAGCGCGCGTGCTCCGCGCGAGGAGGAGGGATTGTTTATGGAACCTCTGCCGGGAGCCACGCGCCGGGCGTACGAAGTTGCCAGGCGAGCTTCCCATTGGGTGGGAGGCGACTCGGGAGCCAAGCGGGCGGCGGGGGGTTGTGTGTGTGGCGCAAGGCGCGTCGCGTGCTGCTCCCGGGGGCCCGCGAGCGGCGGCAGCAGCCGCGCGTGTTGATAAGGGGCAGAGCTGTGAGGGACTCGCGGCAGAGGCGCCTTGACAGCGCGCAAGGGAGCAGGAGTGTTTGCGCGGAGGAGGAAGAAAGTAAGCGGGGCAGCTTCCTTCCAAGCCAAGCGGGGCTTTCACGCGCAGGGTACGTGCGTCCAACGTGTGCCTCGCCAGGGACCGGGGAATCCATCCTCCAGCCACATTTGTCTTCCCGCCAGAGATTTTTGTCCTGCAAAATTTGGATCGTAGCAAATTGCACCGGCGCGAAGGACAAAGGCAGGGTAGATGACACCAAGATGAACGGCGGGGCAATAACAACGGCCATGCAACAAGCAGCCCACGCCGCTTGCAAAAGTTATCCCTTGCACGGTTGCAGCAACAGCAGCGGCTCCTTGGGGATCAAGCTGCAGGCGGGGCAGAGCGCGGGCTCCTCTTCGGTCGGGCAGCAGCAGTGGGCTGTTGCAAAGGGCTGTCCCGGCCCGGCCCAGCAGCCCTCCTCCACGGCTCGCTGCAAAGGCTCCAAGCGTCGCTCCAGCTCCCCGGAGCTTCTGCGTTGCAAGCGGCGCTTGGCGTTCCCGGGCCTGGCGGCGCAGCAGAGCGGGAGCGGCGCGGCGGCCGTGGCGCGCCGCAACGAGCGCGAGCGGAACCGCGTCAAGCTGGTCAACCTGGGCTTCCAGACCTTGCGCCAGCACGTGCCCAACGGCGCTGCCGCCAAGAAGATGAGCAAAGTGGAGACGCTGCGCTCGGCCGTGGAGTACATCCGCGCCCTGCAGCAGCTGCTGGACGAGCACGACGCCGTGAGCGCCGCCTTCCAGGACGGGCTGCTGCCGCCTCCCCGCCTGCCCCCCAACGGCACCGCTGCCGCCTGCGCGTCCGGGGGCAGCGGCAGCTCGTACTCCTCCGCCTCGCCCTCTTTCGACGGCCGCGAGGGTAGCTCGGTGCCCGGCTCGCCGCACTCGGCGTACTCCTCGGACGAGAGCGGCTACGAGGGCGCGCTCAGCCCGGAGGAGCAGGAGCTGCTCGATTTCACCAGCTGGTTCGGGAACTACTGACCGATGCCCGCCGCTCCTCCCCCAGCTCGTCCCCGCCGGCCAGGTAAGGGCCGCTCGCAGCTCGGGCCGCGGCGGCGAAGGCGCCTCCCGCAGGGCTGCCCGCGCAACCCGCCCCGGAGCGCGCGGCGCAGCGGCGGGGCCGTCCGGTGCCCGCCGACGTCTCAGGCGCGGCGCTCGCCCCCGCGGAAGCGCGCACCCGGGCGGGCAGCTCTGGCCGCACGCCTGGGCGCGGGCTGGGGGCTGGGAGCAAGCCCCTCGGAAGGACCTGCTTCTGGCCACCCTGGCATAGCTTTGGGCTCTGCAAAGTCTCCTGGCAGGTCGCTTCAAGAAGCGGTTGTCACGGTGCGATTGCACCGCCTCATTTGCAAAATTTTAACCGAGGGTCTAACGACGGGGTCTTCCGTTTGTCGCCACCCCGTGTTTTCGCGCTGCTGCTGTAATCCTTGCATTCTTTCGCGGTAAGGAAGACTGATGAACTGCAGGTCAGGGCCTTCTGCTTGTTAGCTCCAGGAGCCTTCCGTCTGCCCGTGAAGTCCTTGTGGGAGCCTTCACACGAGCCTTTGAAACAAGTGGCAAGTGGCTCAGCTGGACTGGGTTTTGGCACATGATTGCTCAAGGCTGAGCTTTTCTGGGTTCGAGCTTTGATGACAGCATGCATAGAACTAGCTCACCCTCGGCCCCCCCCCCCGCCCCACAAGTAATGACCATTTTGAAAACTACAGCTGCTGCAGGGCTCATCTAGCCCCGTGAATCTGCCTTGAAAGGGGTGAAGATATAGCCAGCCACAAGCTTTCCCCATCCTGGTGGCTCCAGTCCACCACCTCTGAAGGGAGGGTGCCCATTGCAGCAGGCTGGTCTCCTGAAGCCTGAGCAGTGACGTGCGTGGCCATGCCTGACCTGCAGTTACAACTATTTTACAAGACTGGAGTTCTGCTGAAGGGAGGGGGCTCCCTATAAAGGTCCTTAGAGCTGGCGTGCCAGTAGCCCTGCTCTCTTGCTGGGTATGTTCCTGCCTAGGGACAGGGAGGGGCTCGGCGCCCAGGTTCAAAGGTGGGACCGATTTGATTGCATAACTGGAAACCGTCAGATCTCAGCTTGGATAACACTTGCCCTCAAATCCTTAATCATTTTGAGTTTTGATCCAGGAAATGCATTGTTTTACTTGCGATTTATTATTTGAAAAGGAGAACAATATAAGTACTACTAAGTTTGCACTGTCAATTAACTTAGAGTGTAATCACAAATGTTGCATGTTTGTTCAAAGCAAGGTCACTGAGTTCCGAGGGACCTATCTGAGCGTATAATACTGCAGCCTAATAGATCTGTTCCTAAATGTATTTCGTGTGAAGTAAGGCCTATTGATTTCATTGAACTACCTTCTAGAAGTGCACATTCATTGCAGCTTACATGCAAGAAACTTTAGATTAAAATGTTACTGCCTCCTCCCTGGCCCACAAATCCCCTAAGATCTTCCCAAGGAAAGCAAGAAGGCTGATTTGATTTATTTAAAAAAATCCCACTTTCCTTAGGAAGGACATATTGAAACCACTTATGGGTCAAATTATACTTGTTCTGTATAAATAGTAAAGTTAATAAGGGGACAGTGCTATTCAGAGTTTAATAGGGGGAAAATGGACAGTTTGCAGCATTCTCCAGGCAGCCATACTAACTGGGGCATGTTGGGAATTGTAGGCCTTTCCCCTCATCTAATTGTGAATAGGCTTGTGCAGAACTTTGTAGGAGAAATTAAACATGCACTGATTTACCTAGCTGTGTGACCAGAGAGATAGTCCCAGGTGTCTCTCCTGAGCTCAGTTAGATGTTAGTTACATGCTCCTAATGGCCTATCTGTTTTCTTTTGTAGCAACACCGAAAGCCCTGCTATGTAGAACCTCAGTACCTCATTGTTCCAGGCAGCAGAAAAGCAACAAGGACTCCTGATGTAATGTGCTTCCTACATTCCTCGAGCCTCACTGTAAAGTATGTGTGATGGTCAGATCTTTGTGGCAGCTGACATCGCATCATGGTTTCACTGTTTTTCATGAAACAAGAAACTGGTGGTTTGTGATGATTCTCTCTCTCTCTCTCTCTCTTTTTAAAAAGTGCAATTATGTAAATAGTTAATAGGGGCCAAAGTTTTTACCTGCTGTTGTACAGTAGTTTATGGTGCCCTTTGACTCTTGAACAGCCAATGAGAAGGTGTATTTCTTATTCCAGTGGCAGATGGAGATCTGGGCTTCCACTTCATGTGTACTTTTTATATGGAAGGGGTGAAATAATTAAAACTTGATACTTCCTTTTTCTCAATGGGAAGGGGACTAGTGTAATGTCAAAACTAGTTTTTCTGTGTAACTTGAACTGCCTATGAAAACACTGTTCATATGAAGACTTATTTTTGTACAAAAATTCTCTTGAAATTACAGGAGGTGAGGAAAGGTTTGTAGAAGTCCATTGAATCCTTGACTTCTTAACACTGCCAGATAGGATGTTTTGAGAACTTACACAATTAGATAAATATCCTAACATTTTATACTAAAAGAGTGAAATTTCTTCATGTTAAATATGATGTTCAAACTTTTGTTTGTTTTTGGGTCTGGTGTGAAGGTTCATTTATCTGGAGCAAAAGAAAGCCCTGAAGTTTTATTTTTAATGTATTGAAGGTATTTTTGTATGCACTTGCTAGGACTTGTCAAGGGGTATGTATGTGTATGTGTGCATGTGCACACGCATGTGTGAGTGTGTATGTGTGTGTGTGTATATATATATATGCAGTTTTTAAAAGAGTATCCTATTTTATGTAAATCAACTTTATAATAAAATCTATTTATAAATAAATGTTATTGTGGCTGTGTACATCTGTTCTCCTGACTGGAAAGGCAAAACTTCTCTGTAGGGTTCTTTCACCTCTATGGGTAGTGACACCTTTCTCCCCTGCATCTCTTAGCACTGGTTAGGACCCTAGAATCACAAAGGCAGCCCTTTTTAGTGACACCAAACTGGCCAGGCTAAGCCATCCAAATTAGATGGTTATCCAGTCCCTTGCAAAGAAGGCAGGAAGGGAATGGCAACACGAGGTATTTAGGGCACTACCTATGCATGTTTAGACAGAAAAATGGCCTACAGCATGGCTGGCTACAGTTGCTGGGAACTTTAGGACTTTTCTTCCATTTCAGCATGGATAGGATTGCATCCATACAGACTCGCCACAGCTAGCATGTTCTGTTTCTGTGCTAGCAGAGTGCTGTGGGCCTCTTGCTATTGATACAGAGATGAGTGAAGAACAGATGGCTGCTGGCAATTGCTCGTGCTGTGTTGGTCAAGCAACTACAACCTAACACAAGTTACTGTGATTATCAAAAATAAAGGCCAAATATATAGGCCAATGTGCCAATAGTGTTTATTTGCTTACAACAGAGTTCTGAAATAGCAAGTTTGGCTGGTGGTACAGCTTCGTGGGGAGTGGAGGTCTTCAGAAAGGTAAGGGTATGAATGAATGCTTCCCACTACTAATAGGAATGGTTTGCCACAACATTTTTAATTAATGCAAGTAATACCATACTTACTATGTTGTCACTTTTTTCATCAATGGAAGGGAAACTTTCCCACTTCTATGACGCTTTGTAAAAGAAAACCATCATGTTTCCATCTTCATTATTAATAATGAAGATAAGGGCTCATTGATATGAAGAGCAAAAGTTGGGAAGATAGGGCTATCAAACCATTTAAAGGTGTCTTGTACTCCACTTTCGGAAATGAATGTTTGGCCATCCAAGTATCAGCCCTCCCCAACATGGCACCTTTCAGGTGTATTGAACTATATCCATCATCCACAGCCAAGCTGCTATGGACTGTGCTAACGGGGGGTGGTGGGTCTTGGCCCAGCATATATGGAAGGCCCCAGATTGAGGAAGGCTGTAAGGGCTTGCTTTACCAAGCTGGATTAAAAGGCTGGGAAGCCCAAAGTAAGTTGAAGAAAAGGGTGGCAACACAGTGGAGGCCAGCAATACTTGTTTTGCGATATTGACCGTGTTACTGAGCTTGGAACAGAATGGGATGGAAATGTCAGTTCCATTGAAATTGTTAGTTCAGCGTTGTCGGAAACTGGCTCATTCCGATCTCAAGGTGAGCATAAAGGCTTGATGAGTTGGCAATTCCATTTCTGACCAGAGGTTATTTAGGAGTATTTCAAATGAAAAGGCATCAAAGGTCGAGTCAGGAAGATGACTTGTGTAAGAGTTGTCTTGCCCCTGGCTTTATTTTGAGGGCCTGTTTCAGTGTGTAGAATTGCCCCAGCCAAAAGGATCCAAAGAGAAAATGAGATGTTGTGTGAGACATATATTTATACAACTATCTTTGTCCTTCACATATTCATCTAATTGTTCTGTGGAAACCTCAGAACACGAGTCAACACAGAAGCTCCCCCATGTGAAACTAGATGGGTTATTGCTACATTCTGCAATGTTTGTTTGTTTATTTTTAATTGCTAAACTGTTCCAATGAAGAACTTGTTTGGAAATGGGTTTGACTGAAATATACTTTGTGCACAGATAACATTTGAAAAATAACAGACCAGCTCCAACCCATACTGATCCAGCATAAGCTCCCGCTTTCCAGCCTGACCATCTCTCCTGCCCCAAGCAACCATACTTTGGCAATTTAGGCTGCACTCTGCAGACCACATGCGAAACAGTTGTACGTAGGAGAGCTCCATAGGCTCAAGCTCAGACTCTCACTGAACTTTTTGCTGGAGCTTTCTAATTAGTAGTGTCTTCCTATTTAGAACTCAACAAGTCTACCCTGGTGAAAAGAAGGGCAGTGACTCATGGGGAAAAAGGGACAAAAAACCTTGGATGAAGCAAGTTGGGAACTATTTATTTTGTGTGTGTTTAAATCCCACCGTTTGGTAAGCACTGTTTGGACTTGCATGGTTCAAGGAAACTTGCAGTTCAAATGGAATAATAATCCAGAATTCTCTATAAAGTTGTGGCTTAACAGGGACT